TCCTGGGTTGCAATCACCATATCTACAAAATTTTCCTCTTCGATAATGTCGGATATCTCAACTTCTGAAACAAATGACGGAGCTTCGGCATCGTCAATAACAAGCGCATCTTCAGGTGCCACCTGAAATCCTAATCTTTCCACGAGGACACCATCCACATATTTCTCCAACCCAATTAAATTAAAAATAGCCTCTTCACTTGGGGACAGTTTTTTCTCCATATTAGGGCCACCTCCCGTTCCTTTCCGCAACTTTACGTTTTCCGACGCCTTTTGCCGGACATATCGCTTTTGGTCGCACCATACCTAAAGAAAATTGTGTAGATTTACATAGGTACTGACACAGAGCCCCAAGTGTGTGTGTTTTAACTTTTTATATATTAACATTGATTACCTTTTTCCACTCTACGATATTTTTTACTGGTGGTCCCGCCGCGTTAAGCTCCAACTCTACTTTTTTCCAAAATCGTGTCTGGTCCTCTTTGTCTCCTTTAAAAAAACCTCTAGCAATGGCGGGTTGCGTTTCCATTAAGCTGATAAGCAATTGCAATTGCGTTTTATTTGTAGATTTTGACCTAAAAAGAAGAACTAGTTACTATTTTTTTGTTATTTTATGAAAATACTTACATATTTGGCTGAAACTCGCTTGCAAGTCACCGGTGAATAAATTCTCGCGGGCTGTCAAAATTTTCCGCCATTCACTTGCGTTAGAGATGCCTACTTTTCATTTTCGAAATCTTTCGAACTTGTTCAGAATAGGAGGAAAGCGGAAAGTGAAAAAATCCGATTTTTTTTTCATTTAGAATAGGAGGATTGCGGAAAGTGAAAAAAGTCGAGCGGAAATATTATTTAGAATTGGGCTGAATATGTTTTGCGTTGTTATAAATGTATTGAAATTAATTAATTAATAAAAACGGGAGGAAATAGATACACTTATACACTTTTTACTGAATCAAAAAAATTATTAAACATGATAATAAGAACTTGGCGCTTTTCTTTTGGAAAAATTGGCTTTTTCTGGTGGCCTGATGCCACACTGGCTCAGTTGTCGCAAAAGTACACATACATACACAATGCCATCTCCGTACAGCTCACTTCACCTCGCCTAGCACGCTCGCGTGCGCGCAGTTTGCCCGCGACGTCGACTGCGTGCACCTCTGCTGTGCATCCCTAACGTAGGGAATCTATGTTTCCACACAGAGTGCTCTGAATTTTATAGAGATTTTTTTAATTTCAAAGCTCAGCTCTATGGGAAGGTTAATAACAAAATAGTTTCAATTAGTCTAAAAGGCCGTGGCGATATACCAAAATATAGCAAACAACTTCAGATTGATTTTAAAATAGCTATAAACTCAAAACAAATCAATTGATTTCAAGTTAAACTGTGAAATGTTTACTTTTGTTCTACATTAATTAATTATCCTACTAATATTGTAATTGCGAGTTTGCGAATTTGGATGTTGTGGCTCAACCACGTGAAAACTACGGAACGGATTTGATAAAATTTTGCAAACAGATAGTTTATGACCTGAATTAAAAAATAGAAAATGTCGGATTTATGGTCTAATTCGCTTGAAATAGCTTATTGCCTGGATTCACATATAGGATAACTTTTTACGGGAGGTGGATCAGGGACCATTTTTAATTTTCAATGCTATTTTTTGCAATTATCAACGCAGGCGCCGCGAAGCAAGCGGATATATGCACTGAGATATGTGCACTGAGTAAAAAATCAACCAAAAACTGGTTAATATTACCAAATTCAAACTTAAAAAGGAATCAACGTGATTTTTGGTTAATAATAACAATGACTTGATTGATATTTTCAACAATGATTTGGTAATATTACCACAGTTTTGTTTACATTAACCAAACTTTTGGTTGTTAATTTTTTCTTTTCAATACGATTATGCTCTGCACTTCACAGATGCTTTTCATAATTCGGGGATACAAAACCAAATTTTTTATTATCATTTGTACAAGTTGCCTCTAACGAGAATTGAAATAGCATCTTCTGAATGTGAGCAAACAACACAAGCATTTCTGCACACTCAGCTACAGCCGCTTTATAAATCTGCCTTCAAATGTTCAACTTGAATCAATTTTCTCCGTTGTTTGATTTCGTTCTGCACTTCACAGGGGCTTTTTCGTAATTAAGAAAAACCAAAAACAGAAAAATAAATAAAATTATGTATCGTGCTGACGGCATTCGTACTGCTGGAAGCCAACAAATAACAGCAAGCAGCTCTGCACGTTCAGCTACTGCCATACATACGAATTTGTTCTCAAATGTTCAACAGGAATTACATTTCTTACAATCGGCTTATTAACCATGAAAAAATCAAAACAGTTAGGGTTGAAAAAACCATTGTGCTTTTGGCTCAGTGGGTGTATATAAACCAAATCCTTTAAGGCTTTGGGAAATTAATTACTTTAGAATTGAATTTTTATTTGAAAACCAACAGCATTAGTTAAAAAATACCCATAAATAGAATAAAGGCCGACTAATATAATAAAATTAAAGAATACATATTTATGACAATCAGCTGATGCAATTTTGCTGAGATCAGCATTGAGAACTTTGTGATTTTCATTTAAATGAACCTTTTGTTATTATTCAATTGCCACTGTATTATGAAAACACTTCTTGTTTAAAGTACTTTTAAATTACACTTTAACTAAAAGGAAACTTTTGTAAAATGGAACTTTAAGTTTTTCATTGTGAAATTGGCCCTAAGTAAATCAGAGAAACAAAATTTAAATTACAATTTAATTTGCCCAGATCAAATGTGTTTTTGGTTCAAACCTTGCTATGCATACATCTTTTATAAGTGACAGTGTGGGTTATGAGGTATTGCTTAAAAGACCAACTCTACAATTTCGATTTATATATGTACACATGCCTATAACACACACAAATCAATTATATTTATGTTAAGACCTTTCCCAAAGCTGCTTTTTCCCCTTTCTACAACTTTTACAATGCATGCCACAATTGAGTAGTCCACTTGCAAACAGCGTTATGTGATTTTATAATAGTAAGCCATAACTACATAAAAAAAACGTCTACAACAAGTAAAATCCAAACTTTATCTTTTTTCTTTATTATCTGAAAATTTGGATAAATAAGAACCTAATAACATTAACAAAATCGCAGTATGGTACATTTTGCTAATTTTATATATAAAAAATTAATATAGCGAGATTTGAAACAATAACTTTTATTTTATTTATTTATTCAATTCAATTAGTCTATGAAACAATAATTTCTTACAGACTATATAACAATAAAGCTTAAACTAGGGTATTTTATTTAAGAGGTTAGTAAAGGCTGTTCTCGGCAACGAAAAATCAAGGTCGATAGAACTGGAAATCTGGTTAAATTCATTAAGAGCCCGCGCGATGGGCGCATTACGGGCATAATTTGTACTCACATTGTCAGCATAGAATGGGAGGGAGGCACGAAGATACCGCGGAACATTAAAATTTATTCTTCCTAAAAGCTGTGGGCAGTCAGAAATTCCTTGGACAATGCAAAAAATAAAAATTAAAGATAATATTGACCTCCTTTTATCCAACGTTTTCAAATTGATAAGCAATAAGCGCGCATTATATGAAGGTAGAGGATCTGAGAAGCGTACTGAACGTAAGGCGATTTTGAGAAACACCTTCCGAATTCGTTCAATCCTATTAATATGAAACTGGTGAAAAGGACGCCAGATTATTGCTGCATACTCCAAGTGAGATCGCACATGGGAGTTATATAGAAGTTTTAAAGTGTAAGGATCGGAAAATTCAGAGCTATTCCGCCGTACAAAGCCAAGCATTGAATAAGCTTTAGAATTAATAAAATCAATATGGCTGGTAAATGAAAATTTAGTATCAAAGACAACACCAAGATCCTTGATTTCATTTACCGCCTGCAAGCTACAATTAGAGATGCTGTATCCAGTTTTTAATAAGTTACGTGACTTAGAGAACGAAACATAAAAGCATTTATTAATATTCAAAAAAAGATGTGAGTTCAAGCACGACGAATATAAATTATCCAGCTCGGATTGGAGTTTCAATAAGTCAGCGGAGTTCTTAACAATTTAGTAGATTTTTAAATCATCTGCGTACAAAAGAAAATTAGCGAAGGAGAAACTAGAACCAATGTCGTTAATGAACAATACAAAAAGCAATGGACCTAGAATGCTATCCTGTGGAACACCTGAAGTAGCAATAAAAGGTTCTTATTAAGTATCATCCACAGTAACAACACAGTGCCTACGTTTAAGATAAGACCTAAGCCATTGCAGAAAAGTAGAATGAAAACCTATGGAAGCCAGTTTGTCAATCAAGATCGCATGTGAAACCTTATCGAAGGCTTTAGAAAAATCGGTGTAAATACAATCAACTTGATATACGGCAGAAAATGTAGAGATACAGTACTCACTAAAAACTGCCAGATTAGTGACTATAGAACTACCGGAGACGAACCCATGCTGATTCGGACAAATTAGACTCTTAACAGAAAAATATATCTTGTCTTTGATGACACATTCGAAAAGCTTAGACACATTGGAAAGTTTCGAGATCGGTCTATAATTAGTTACATAATTTTTATTCCCGCATTTGAAGATAGGAGTTATGGATGACAGTTTCCAGGCATCAATGAATACCCCCAAAGACAGCGATTTATTAAAAATGATTTTCAACGGAAGTACCATAGCAGCACAGTTTTTTAACAAGAGAGCCGAGAGGCCATCCACATCCGTTTGGGAAGAGGATTTGAGCTCTAAGACTCCAGTTGAAATATCATCATTTGAGAGAGTCAGTAATCCGAAACCACATGTGGACTTAAAGCCAGATGAGAAAGCATCCCAGGAAAGGTCATCTTCACAATCATAGTTTGATTTGAAGAAATCAGCAAGTAAGTTAGCAGCCTCTGGAGGATTGCGTGTGAATTTTCCGTTCAAGAATACTGTGGATGGTATTGTGGAGCACCCTTTTTTTGATTTTATGAATTTCCAGAAGGCCTTAGGGTCTGAATGAATATTATTTTCGAAATTGAAGATATAGTTTCTGTATAAAAATTTATCTAAACAATTTGAATTCTTTCAGATATTGGCGATACTTGTCATAAAACAACTGGTTATTGGTGGATTTAAACTTTTTAAGGAACTTATTCCTAAGATTCTTAAGCTTCTTCAAACGCATAGTGTACCATGGTAGCTTCTATGGTTTTCTTTTGCGGACAGGAATATTATTTTTAAACACTTCGTATCCAACTGATCTGAAAGTATCAAAACATTCAGAGACATCAGTACTAGAGAGCAGTTCCTCCCAACTGACTTCGGCGAATAAACTGTTGAGATTCACAAAATCACATAAGGAGTAATTGAAAGCAATTTTATCGCTGGTGCTTCCAGAGGCAAACTCATAGAATTCAACCTTGAGTACTAAAGGAACATGATGCATATCCGGAGGCGAGACTAGAGAGAGACACTCAGACACACTAAAGTTTATGGTATCACTGACAAAGATTAGATCCAAAATTATATTGAGCTTGTTCTTGAAGTTATTTACTTGAAGTAGATTTAAACATAATTTATTATCAATAAAATGAGATTCATATAGGGTGCAGATATTAGTAGGAATAAGACCAGAGTTACAATAGTTTTGAGACCAATTAAGATTACAAAGATTAAAATCTCCCAATATAAAGATATAATTGTCACCTCATTTATTAACAGCTAAGGATACAATGTTATCAGCATGCGCACTATACAGATTATCCGCACTATTAGGTGGAATGTATGAGGCAACTATGAATAACGTATCAGATAAATTAGAGCTGGTCACACTGACACACAGCAGGTCTAGTAGGGAGTCGTCATTATCCAGTGTTATCAGCGACGCACGATACTTGCGCTGCACAGCAATTAAAACCCCACCACCTCTAGCACGACCCGTTTTATTGGAATCTCTGTCGTTACGATAGACGACAAAAGGATTGTTGTCAAAAAACTCATCAGAGAAATTATCATTTAACCATGTCTCAACTATGACAAAGACGTCGTACTCCAACTGCGAGCTATAACGTTTAACCTCATGCGATTTAGTTCTAAGTCCAGAAGCATTTTGAAAGTAGACATTAATTTTTTTTTTAGATTGTGACGAATTTCTGTAGTTCGTTACAAAGCTTTCTGTTGGTTTCCCCCTCTCAGTAAAAAACGAAAGGGACGTACGTTTACACCCACCGGCCAAAGATCAGCTGACATCAGATTTGCATAGAACGAGCTTGGAGCACCAAGTTTGAAGTTCACTCTCCGAATGGAATTATGATCAACATTATTTTTGATTAAATGATTGCATAAATGCTGGCCCTTACTAATATTGGCATGATTTGATACGTACTCAATTATGTCATCAGCAGTGACAGATGGCTGAAATGATGATAAGTGCAGCCACTTCATACTATCAGCAACTTTCAATTCAGAGTTTGAGCTGGAGCCAGCAATGGTACGCTGCTTCAACTCAGATGCGTGAACGGTAGAAGACGATGAATTCGGTGCCGGCATTAGTACAGTAGCGCCAAGAACAACAGCGTCAGAATAAGATAATTTCTTAGACGAACCGCCAGCAGCAGCAGAGGCAGCGTCGGCGATTGAAGTTGACGCGTCGGATTTCTTAGACAAAACATTAGTTCGTTTATTTGACAAAGCGTTGGAGCGTTGCGTAGCAGTAGACAGAAGCGAATTAGCAGGTGAAAGAGAATTACCGATAGATACATCAGCAGCAGCAGCGGCAGCGACAGCGTTTGAAGTAGACGCGTCGGGAGAAGCAGTAGTAGAGAGAGGGCAATTTCTAAGAGTATTAACAGGCGAGAAATCAGGCAAATCAACAGCGCCAACACTCACTGCAGGAGAAGCAAAGTTATGTCTCAACATGCTCTGCATAGCACGAATTTGAAGACTCTCGACTTTTCCGAGCAAGATGTTCTTGTCGTCATGCATCGACTGTAATAAAGCAAACAAACGCACATTCTCGGCTTTGAGGCCAACCATTTCACTAAGAACATTGATAGTTGATTGCAGTTTATTGCACTTCGGTTGTTCGCTGATTTGTGTTTGTGTAGCTACAGTCGAATAGACAGCCGGCTTCTGTTGTTTTTCTGGATGATCGGATTGTGCATCGGCAGAAAGAGAGTTACCCACACTCGTTAAATATGTAGATGCGGAATGTAGTGGGGGCGAAGTCCGAGTGGAATCTCTGCGCCTTTTGGCACAATTACAGCAATAAAATGCACTGTCAGATTTACGTAGGAAATCCACATCAGTTTGCGTTAAATTAACACATTTCAAATGAAAAATTNTGCATCGGCAGAAAGAGAGTTACCCACACTTGTTAAAGATGTAGATGCGGAATGTAGTGGGGCGAAGTCCGAATGGAATCTGTGCGCCTTTTGGCACAATTACAGTAAAAAAAAAGCAGTGTCAGATTTACGTAGGAAATCAACATCAGTTTGCGTTAAATTAAAACATTTCAAGTGAAAAATTTCCTTACAATTAGAGCACTGAATTTTATTCTGACCACGCTCAATTTTTTGCCGACATGAACAAGGCATTATTAAAGTGTCAGAGTAAGATTAAAAATAAAAAGTTATAGCTTTACTCTCGCACAAAACAAATAAAGAATTTAGCACTGGTACAGAGCTTNTAAATTAAAACATTTCAAGTGAAAAATTTCCTTACAATTAGAGCACTGAATTTTATTCTGACCACGCTCAATTTTTTGCCGACATGAACAAGGCATTATTAAAGTGTCAGAGTAAGATTAAAAATAAAAAGTTATAGCTTTACTCTCGCACAAAACAAATAAAGAATTTAGCACTGGTACAGAGCTTAGCGTGTGCACGTCCGAACAGCTTCACTTTCACTTTTGCTATTTCAATAGCTAGCTTTTTTTAGCTTTTCGCGTTCTCTCTTCTTCTTTTCTTTCTTTCTTTTTTTACGACGTCTTCAATTAGGCACCGAAACAACCACGATTTCTTGCAGTTTTCTAAGTTCATCAGAAGATGCGAGACTTTTGAACTTGTACAAATACGTGCAATAAATATTATAGCGACTTTTGAAAGTGTATATGGGTCATTCCATACAATATTTACACATCAATATTTTTTTTTGGGTGAAATATATATTTTTACATTCTTTATCGAAAAAAAGAAAACACCTATTTTTTTATATTCGAAAATCTCGAAAAAAATTCCCGAAATTTTGAACTCACGGAGAAGTGTCTTTCTTTATTAGTTTGCAGTTAATAAACTATTTGTCGGAGAAAATCAGTTAAGGTATCAAAATGTGCGTAATTACCTCGGCTTTCCATGAGAGTGTGAGATAGATTACAATAAATTGGCATAAAAAAATCGCACTTTTTATTTTTAATATTTTTTATTAACTTCTAACTTGTTTGATTTTTTTTTTTCAACCTGGATAGTTGTCAAACTTTATGGAGTACGCTGTAAAAATTTGAAAATGGAAACACCAAAACAGTAGAAGTTACGAGTTTTTTCATACCTGCGTACATAAACTTTAGTATAGATTATTGCTTTGATGCAAATTAATTACACTGAATCTATTCTGGTGAACTATTAAAATATATGTAGCCATTTGACTTTTTCTTGCATTATGACATCTTTCAAACAGATTTTGAAACGAAAAATCCGTCATTTTAATAAAATAAAAATTGAATTGTGCGTTTGAAAGCTGTAGGAATCTTATAANAAAACACCTATTTTTTTATATTCGAAAATCTCGAAAAAAATTCCCGAAATTTTGAACTCACGGAGAAGTGTCTTTCTTTATTAGTTTGCAGTTAATAAACTATTTGTCGGAGAAAATCAGTTAAGGTATCAAAATGTGCGTAATTACCTCGGCTTTCCATGAGAGTGTGAGATAGTTTACAATAAATTGGTATAAAAAAATCGCACTTTTTATTTTTAATATTTTTTATTAACTTCTAACTTGTTTGATTTTTTTTTTTCAACCTGGATAGTTGTCAAACTTTATGGAGTACGCTGTAAAAATTTGAAAATGGAAACACCAAAACAGTAGAAGTTACGAGTTTTTTCATACCTGCGTACATAAACTTTAGTATAGATTATTGCTTTGATGCAAATTAATTACACTGAATCTATTCTGGTGAACTATTAAAATATATGTAGCCATTTGACTTTTTCTTGCATTATGACATCTTTCAAACAGATTTTGAAACGAAAAATCCGTCATTTTAATAAAATAAAAATTGAATTGTGCGTTTGAAAGCTGTAGGAATCTTATAAATTTATGCACGGATTCCAGAGTGAAATTTTTTCAAATGTTCTTGTTCATTAGAAATAAATAGTTAGCAGCTTGCACCGCGAAGGAATAAAATATTCCCGAAGTACGATTTGTTTGTTCAAAGCAATATATCTGTTGTCATAAGCAATAATCGCCTAAGTCGAAAAACCTGAATTCGATAAAAAAAAACGCTTTAAAGGCTTGGATTGTAATATTAACCTTATGGGGAAACCAAAATATTTTTATCAATAACTTTTTAAATAGCCTAGTTACCGAGATGGAAGTTTTCACTTACACATAGAATAGTACAGTATATTTAAGATACCTACCCCAAAATGCGCATCAGAGGCATTATTTTTAACATTTATACATTGGCGATACCTGCCTTAAAAAATATGCGACCAGTATCAATTATCAAAGAAAGTATTACATTTACCTGCACTGGCCCTACAATTACCTAATTTTACAACTTTTTATTTATTTTGTTCAGCTCACAGAACAACGAAAATGGCTATAAATTTATGTAGTTATATAGATAATTAGATACTATTCGGTAAAAATTTCGCTTGCAGTAATTTCTACGTGGTAAGTGCTTCTCCATTATTTGCTTTCATAGGGACTTGGATACCTTCCTCATTGAAGTAGTAAAGAAAATTCGCTTAAGTGCCTTTTTCGGTTAAGTGCACAAGTTCTCCGTGCAAAGAAGGATGTGCAGCTAAGCAAAATATACTGTAGTTGCAGAAAACGATAGCATATAAACCTCACATCTTTCTTAAGCCGACTCAGGCGGTTATTGCTTATGACCACAGATATGGGTTTTTCCATCGGAAGGTCCACCACGAAAAAAAAAATAAAAGTCTTAAAAATACGTTAGATGTATTTACGGGCCGATTTGTCTGCTTTTTTAAATATATACTGGCTATGTAAGTAGAATCATGTTTGCGTAAAATGGCTTTCCTAGGTGGCGCCAAGGTTGAGATATTTCGAAAAACTGTATTTATGGTCCGATTTGGCGTATGTAGTTGAAACATAATCTGCCTTATCCTGAGTTTCGCCTGAAAAAAAAATTCACCCGAAAATCTGTCATCCGCCCATAGTAAAACCATGGAAACCAAAAGTGAAAAGTGAACCGGGTCGGCGAAAATGACACTCATGATAAGGCTGAATAANCATTGGCGATACCTGCCTTAAAAAATATGCGACCAGTATCAATTATCAAAGAAAGTATTACATTTACCTGCACTGGCCCTACAATTACCTAATTTTACAACTTTTTATTTATTTTGTTCAGCTCACAGAACAACGAAAATGGCTATAAATTTATGTAGTTATATAGATAATTAGATACTATTCGGTAAAAATTTCGCTTGCAGTAATTTCTACGTGGTAAGTGCTTCTCCATTATTTGCTTTCATAGGGACTTGGATACCTTCCTCATTGAAGTAGTAAAGAAAATTCGCTTAAGTGCCTTTTTCGGTTAAGTGCACAAGTTTTTCGTGCAAAGAAGGATGTGCAGCTAAGCAAAATATACTGTAGTTGCAGAAAACGATAGCATATAAACCTCACATCTTTCTTAAGCCGACTCAGGCGGTTATTGCTTATGACCACAGATATGGGTTTTTCCATCGGAAGGTCCACCACGAAAAAAAAAATAAAAGTCTTAAAAATACGTTAGATGTATTTACGGGCCGATTTGTCTGCTTTTTTAAATATATACTGGCTATGTAAGTAGAATCATGTTTGCGTAAAATGGCTTTCCTAGGTGGCGCCAAGGTTGAGATATTTCGAAAAACTGTATTTATGGTCCGATTTGGTTCGAATTTGGCGTATGTAGTTGAAACATAATCTGCCTTATCCTGAGTTTCGCCTGAAAAAAAATTCACCCGAAAATCTGTCATCCGCCCATAGTAAAACCATGGAAACCAAAAGTGAAAAGTGAACCGGGTCGGCGAAAATGACACTCATGATAAGGCTGAATAAGTCATAGATTTCCAACTAATTCACCCTTAATTGGCGTTGAAGTCAAAATATAAAGTATATTCTACATATGTAAAATACATGTTTTATTTGCGTTAAAAATTCATTTCAAGCAATATTAACAAAAATACAACGATGGAAATTTATGTCACGTGACGTTTCACACTTGGGGTTGTAAAAGAAAATTGAAACAAGTTGCATTAATTCAAAAAACTATAAAAACAACTAGAATTGCCCCGAATCATATTAAAATAAGTTTCATGAAAATAGCCATCCACAATTCGCAGTTTTGCGATTTTGTAAGAAAAGAAAAAATCTACTTCCATTTTTTGTCACGTAACGACATTCTCTTTAAATTCTTATATTTCAGGACCAATCAGTTCGATTGTTTTAATTTTTTGGTTAAATATAGAGCTAATTATGTGCTATACAATGCCCCGAAAAAGTTAAAGAAAACAAATGGTATTCCTTGTTTGTATCATATTGAAACGTACGACTGTCACGTATGCGACGTATGGAATGACCCATATGTATATCCTCAATTTCAGAGGTTTTGGAGAAACTGAATCGTATGTAAGTATATAAGTATACATATGTACATTAGACTGCATCACTCCCCATAAAAAAGTCGATACTGTTTTTCCTTTGGAATTATAAAATCTATTATATTTTAAGACTAAAACTATATTTTAGCACTAAAACATTTCGGAAAAACTATATTCAACAATTTATATTGAGCTCGAGGCCGTTTTAAATGAAAATTTGTATTGTGGAAAAGCAACAATAATTTGAAAAAATGGTAGAAGTGCTAGCTATTTCGGAAATCACCACATTTCCTCATAGACTTCTTTCAGTAGGATTCGAACCGACGATCCCACTGACTCAGCCAGTTGCCTATGCACCGTGCTAAGTACGCCTTGTAAATTATCGTTTGCTTTTTTCCACTATTTTCATTTTTGTTATGCCAACACAATCAAGCGCAGCTATTCCGCTGCAATTCACTTGATCATGTGGTTGTTGGTATTGTTGGTTTTTGCTAATAATTCTATTTTTAGAATGTTTAACTTTTAGGTGTGCTCGTCCTTAAGTTATTTGTTTTTGATTTTTTTTTTGGCCTTTATAACAATATATTCAACAATTTATA